GCTGACTAGTAATGTAGTGGTCATCGTGCTTCATAACAAAAGTTAACGCCCGTGTCCGGTCTGACTTTGCAGCCACGAACACGTCCCCCCAGGGTTGCCATCCCTGTGATCAGCGCTGCCTTGCCCGGAAATTGCATCGGTACAAGAAGTTCATCGGCTTACTTTGCGAAGTCTCTTAGACTATTTCTCCTCATACATCGGGCGCAAAGAAATTTATGCTCAAGGGGAGATTCGAATCCCAGACATTGTAACAGAAACTCTTGGTAAACCTCAGCAGTAGCTGTGCCAGGAGATCTACAGTAGAACCTTCAACGATGCTCACAATACCAAGTAATTAATATTCGTGGTACATGCGTTTTCTGTTGGCAATACTCACACAAAACACCCGTTCTCACTCCGGCCGCCTCAACGGTCGTATGGCCTCCGTCGACACCCCACATCTACCGTCGAGCGCCCGGCCGCGTTGACCAATATGCTATAGATTAGTATATGTAGACATCTACATCTACAAACGTATGCATAGCTGTGTATTTTCAGAACAGTTTCTTGGCTGAGGCCCTGAACGACAAGTTCAGCTTGGAGAGCTTCCCTCCTATCGCTGCCGCGGCACCGCGAGCGAGCCCACCACCAACATCCCCGCGTTCGTCCGCTTTTTCACCCCCAACATGCGGGGTGACTATTGCGTGCGCAGCGTTCGCTTCCCCCCCAGCGAGTAAGAACGCCGCTTCGGCTTCCTTTTGACGTAGCGTCCTCTGCTCCGTTTTCCATTCCTTTGAGCCATAAGCAACCTAGCCCGGCCAACGTCAAAGCGACACACCAGCGGCTGAGGAGGGTTCGGTTCGAACAAATACCGTCACATCAACGTCAACAACAACATCGACAACAACGACACAAATAAGCGACTTGTAGGTAGAGCACACCTGTCCCCGTTTTTTCTCGAGCGCGGTCTGTTTTCGGGTCTTCTCAGCATCCAACAGCAACCGATTTCTTTTCGCCACTTCCGCGCTATCATCGTCGTTGTCGACAAGCTGCTGCTGCGCCACTCTGTGCTCCATCAGGCCGCACAAGACCTTTTGGATGGGATCGTTCTCTGGAACGATTCGAAGAGCGTTAGTTCCATGCGGGGAGCAAGAATGAGTTTCTACGTAATCGCCTTTGGGCCAGTGGGAGGTCGCCTTGCCTTCGCAGTTCGAGAAACTAACCAAATAGGAGGAAACATTCTTGCTAGACATCTGAGACCGTGAGTCAGAAGCAGCCAGTTCTTTCGACAACTCCCCGTCGACATGCGCTCGGTCGGAAGTCTGACACGTTTCGCCATCCCGATTTCACCTCAAAGAGATGTCACGATTCCGTGTACGACATTGCACTTGAGGTTGAGGGTGTGGACTGGGGCAACTAACGGCCCGGTCCTATTCTTCAACGGGGACTAAATTCTCGCAACGCATCGATTTTGTGTACATGCCGATTCAGCGTGAAATCGTCCCAGAGCTGGCTATCCACCACCTTGAAAGGAACGGCCTTGGACCTTCTCCAAAGCCCTAGTAGTTGTACGGTATTTCCTGTATCAACAAACAAACGCAGCTCTCCCAGCGTCGCGTTGTCACTAGAGATGGGCACCGTCTGAAAAATAACCGGTAATACTCGGTTTTTAGGAAACCCAGCAGGCGATTATGAGTAACGGTTATCATCCAAAAAAAACGGAGGTGTTCAAGAAGGAGGCGTTTTGCAGCCGGTTATACCCGGTTATCGGGTTAACCGGTTAACGGTCGCTAAAATACCCGGTTATGCGGCGATTTTTTATTTGAGAATAGCGCCTCCTAGCCAGTTATTGCTCATTGGTTGTTCCCTTCTGGTGCCCATCTCTTCTTTGACACTACGACAATAGATCGTGTGCGTGAAATACACTGGCAGACACCGACTGCGTGATTGAAAGATGGTGTGTATACCAGCCACAAAACATACCCAAGTTTGAGAGGTTTCGGGGGCGTGTCCTCATATCGTCCGGTTAAACCGGTTAACCGATTAACGGCTGAAAAACGGCTATACCTGTTATTGGATTTTGAGAATAACGCCTCCTAGCCGGTTATCGGTTATTGCTTTTTCACGTCCGGTGCCCATCTCTAGTTGTTACGTGGAACCATATGTCCAAATTTGGCTCCAACACTCCAAAATTCATGTACATACTGTAGTCCAAACCTTCAGCAAATCGTAGAGCGCTTGATTCACGGGGTCCCTACCTACCTGGATGCTTCGGACACCCGACAAGGTGGTCGAAAACCTCCAGGACGGCCTGCTTTCCAAGTCCAGTCTCATACACCAGGTAGCGCTCGATGTTCTCCCTTGTCTGTGCTTTGACGGTTTCGTCCCATGGACCCAGGGCAAGGGTGATTTAGGGCCATAGCGTATAACATGAACACACAGAATCCTATTTTGTTATGCCTACCAAGTGTTGGGAGATCGAATGTCATATTGTTCCGGGCACGTGAAAGGATACACCTATCATTTTCCCGTTCGTTTTCCTAGGAATCAAGATCAATATGCCCTGAAACAAATGGAAAATAGCACCAGTACAAGAGTAAACACATCTTGTGGGAAAGAAAGTTGCTGTATAGGACAGCAGAAGGGCGGGAATTATGATCCTCTTCTTGTAATTTTTTCGAAATCTAGTGTTTCACTTTATGAACTGGGAGGGAGATCGCCACATGTTCATGTTCAAAAGCCGCTATCATGCCTGGAAAAAATCGTGCTGGGGCATGCCGTCGGCTCTGCCAAAAAGCCACTTTGAAGAGTAAGCGACTCGCTCCAGTCTCTACTCCAAGCGCCACGTGTTGTCGAGATACTTGCGGGAAAAGGGCTATCACCTTGATCTTGCTCAAGAAGGTCGTGCACAGCACTGTTACCGTCGACTTGGGCGTAGTCAAGTTGTACCTGGACAAGGAGAAGCGCAAAGACGAACAGAGCGACAAGTAAAACAGCGACGATGGTGGCCGCGGGGGCTGCAGTGGGACAAGGTGAATCAATAAGTAACATTCGCGCTTGGTTTGGAAACGGCCGAATCCTTCGCGTGATGGGGAGTGCGGCATGTACACCGTCGCAGAAGGAAGGTGCAGAGAGAACGGAAATCAAACCCCTGCGTGTCCCGCCCCCTCCATGACCCCGGCTGGTGCGTCCAAACACATGCCGAAAAACATGTGGAACATTTGGAACGCCTGGAAAACCTGGGATAACACACGATTCCTACAAGGCTGAGAATTCTCTATTGGTCGATCCACCGGTCAGCGCGTTCGAAGCTAGTCAAAGAAACACACACGCAACGTGGATAGTCATCGCCATTCCTCACGTGGACAGCGGGAGGTTTCCCGTGTGCACCCCTAGGGTGGTGTCGGTCTCCGGGAGGTTGCGGTTGTCGAGGTTCCACAGACCCGGTATCGTCGGAAGGCACATGAACGCGTCGATCCTTTCACAACAATAATAGCACGTAAATTTGACGTCACGTATCCATGCCTTGTGCGCAACCGACATAATGGATACTATAGAGGAATGATAGGGGACATACTGACATTGAGAGGTCCATGACAACATCACAGCGTTCATATGAGAATGAGAGCCATATCTCGGCTTGACTGGGAGGCTTCTCCGGAATTTTCTGCTGATTGCAAAGAAATTTGGGTTCGCGTTTTACACTGTGGAGTTGTTACGATCCTTGAAAGCGAAGGGGAGAGGGAGACAAAATGGTGGTATGATACCCTGTCACAAGTATTTCATAACAACGTGCACACAAGGTTCCATGGCTGCAAAGGAATACGTTGTCGGCTGGAAATCTATCGGAAGGCGATATTTCCCAAGCGCCATGACAGTGGTAGAGAGAAGCCACAACAAAGTGAGCGCCTCTTTGGTTGGTTGTAGACAGGAACGCGTACCCACCCATACATACGCACGTGCATCCCTCGGCGGCGTTGGCTCTCCAGAGGTCGAAGAGATATGACACTGGCCAAGAAGAATCCATCCAAAGACAGGTCGCCGTGCCGCAAGGAATAACCTATCCGCGCGAACGGAACATTGACAAAACGGATTGTGGACCGTGTTGCCTGCTACAGGTGTATGGCTTTATTGCTCAGGCGAGAATTTGGGTTTCGCGTATAGCTTCTGCTCTGCGTCGTTCTGAGTTAGGCCGTGCGGAGCACAATTGCTCGTTTCATTGCCTTTGAAGCGTGGGGAAGATGAGGTCCTGCTGAATGCTGCAATGAAACGTTTCTCGATATCAAGACAGCCATAACCCTTAACAGATCTCAACGGGATGTGTGCGTCCACCGGAATGGCCTCACCATCACAGTATGTGGCCTTGAGCGTTCGAACAGGCACCGCAAGCTCATGTATGACGCGCTGCTAACCGGCAGGCATCCCACTTCTAATTTTGGGTTGGTAGAAAAATATCACGTTAAAGACCCACATCCGGCGACAAGTCTCGAAACCCACCACTTCAGTCGCGGGCCAAGCATCCCCTGGTGTTGACGGAACGCAATAAGCTCGAGTTACTTATGCTCGAAGCAATTGCACCCGTGCTCCAACATACTTCCTTAGCGTTTCGTCTCGGTACCGGGGAGAGTGCTTCAACGTAACGATCGACGTTGTTTCGGAAAAGGTCTTAAAGAGCACTCTTCCCGACGTCGGCTTATACCCTCGTGTAAGGGCCACGGGCGCACACGAGTCAAAAAACATTTTAACTGTCCCCGTTCCAAAATGATAATCTATTCTTTCGCCTGTGGAATCTGGAAGGAGACGTTTTGGTGATAGATTCTCGGTCCTACCACAGGAAGAACTTTGTTGGCCCTTTCACGGAAGTGCGCGAGGTATCAGCTGCGAACTCGACACAAAACCCCGTGGCGAAACGTGCAGGAAGGCAAACCACAGACAAGACGGTCGCATGATGTATGATTCACTAATACCGATGTATGATTCACTGATTCTCTTGGAGGTCGAAGTTGGCAATCCCACACCGGGGTCACTTCTTACCTTCACAAAGATGCGGATGATTCTTCCGACAATGCTCCGGTACAGGGTGATGGCCGCGCTCGTCGTGAGGTCCGTATGCAGCTCGGGCTTTTCCTTCTCTTCGCTGTCGGCGCCTTCACCCTGAAATGAGGGAAACTTGTGTCTTTCAGGTGCGGCGTCCGAGCCAAAGGGTTGTGGTGGAAGAGCCTCCAATTCTTTTTTTAAGTACACGTCATCGATTGTGAAGGCAGCATGGACGATGCCTGACCAGTACCCCCTAGCCGGTTGCCCCTTGTTTCAACAGCCAGCTTGATGGAGATCTGCCGCTTTCGATAACAGTCCTCGGAGTATATGTAGGTGTGCCACTTCTCGGGTGACTACGGTCATTGTTCCGTTGCCCGTGGTGACGTGTTTGGAAATTTCTTGTTTCCGGAACTCGAATTGCACCTAGCACCCCCATCACTGGCCCTAGAACCGGGACACGGGGGTGGGCGAGAGCTCGCGTGCTGTGTACAGAGCCGCAGCAGAAGGTTGTGCCAGTCACCTATCGGTCTCAACCGTGTCTCCAAAAACCATGCTAAGCGCGGCTACGCTTCAACGAATCGAGTCAAAGCCGCTCCCCCTCTCCCTTCAACAAGCCGGCAATGCACCTTGTCGGTGGTGATGACCCCGTGCATCCCCTCCATCAACAACGAGACGCGTCTGCCAGCAGGGCTGCCTGACGCCGCCGCCCCAGTCTCTACCCTCTCTGCCGCCGCTGCGGCAAACGGTGTTCTGGGAGTGGAGACTATCTTGTCCCCTACCGGAGGGAAGGACGAGACAGAACCTCCTCCGTCAACCTTAGACCTGCTCATCATGGATTGGTCGTCGGGCGATTCGAACAAAACACCAGAACAGATATTTCTTACTCCCGTTTCGTTTCTAGCGCGAATCAGTTTATTTCTGATATTGTGTCCCCAACACTGGAAACCAAAAACGCCGAAAAACAACCACACAACAATGTGTAAATAATTGCGCTTCCACGTCTCGCAAAAAGGAATCAGCAGGCATCGAAAGGAGTCTTGCTGAGAATAACTGTTGCTGCCATGACACGCGAAAAAGTCATTGGACTCGGAGACGCACTTTAGAGAAGCCCCAGTTTCTGATATATCTTTCGTGTTGTATGTGATGACGTTTCACCTGGAGCTGCGCCGCGAGGCAGGCCTGGAAGCAGAGGTGTCCTCGAAAGGACCCAGGTAGGCAAAGTCGTGTGGAACGTACCCCGCGGGGAAATCCCAGCAGCACGGGCACCCTGAGGGCAGGTGGTGGTGGTACGAGACGGGGATAACGTTTCCATACATTCGTTCTTGTCGGGGATAGACGCGGTCCATCGGCCAATGGTCACGGGTCCCTCGTGGAATGGAGCAGCGCTGTTCCAGCTAATGTTTAAGTCATCTCGAACGCCTTAGTCGTCGTAACTCGTCATACGATGATTATCCTCATTGTCGGCACCGTTTCCGGCTTGGGCTTGGGTTAGGGGGGGGGTGGGGGGCGAGGGGGTGGCTAGTGTGCCGCCGCTGTGAAGCGCCGTTGCCAAGGCGAACAGGTCGTACGACGCCACACCGCCGGCACCCACACCTGGTTTCCCAACTAGGCACACGGGGCACGGCTTCCCCTTTCGGTGGACCACAAAATCTTCCCTCTTGGGCTTCTCGTGATCCTCCAAGGCCCCGCCTCTTGACCTGGGTTTCTTCACCAAGTCGTACCCGAAAAACACCGGACTCTGGTGCCGACTGTCTTGGTCGTCGGGTATTGTCATCAGCCTGTACCAAAAAACAAATCCGTAAAGGGCTGGTTGGGGATGCGCTTAGGGTTTGCGTATCGACAAGAAAAATCAAGCACCACAACGTCGGAAGGAACGGTAGGGAAGGCTGCCAGCTTGCAGAGAGCGATCAAGGGGTCTGCAACGCTCAAGTCCAATCGAAAGATAGTACGATTCGCTACGCCGCGCGCCGAGGCGCTGTGCACGACCCGGTAAGTTGATCGAGTTTGGCGAAGAGGAAATTCGATCCAGTGATGATGGTGAGAGGACGAAAAATAGCGGCCTCTAACGTGAAACCAGATGAGCACCGTAGGAGATCGTGATTCAAACCCGCCTCCGACCCACCTGTTTACGTCAACTGCTCGGCTTTTCAAAATTTGAACAGCGCGAGGGCAAGGCGCCAGACAATACTGCAAACCGAGCAAAAACCAATGGAACGTTTCAAGTCTTCCGGCACTCCCCCTCAGCCCGGAAGATACAACGCGAGAACCCCATCCTACATTTTGGCTGCTTGCGCTGAACGAACACATTAAAAACATTCCCCGAAGTGCGTGCCGCTCACGACGGGGTCTCAGTAGTCCTAAAGGACGGAAAGCATTGTGGCCATATTCACTACTTGACCGATACTCATACTTCACGTTTCTGAGAGTGCAAACCCAGCCCTAGCTCCGGCATCACACCACCCTCACCCGAAGCACGACGGGTGGACCAAGCCCGCGCTGTCGTAGGTCGTCCCCACCTCTCGGAGACGTTGTCGCACTTTTCCGCGGGTGGCTGGAGCAAGCGGGAAGGCCTGCCGCGGCAGGAGTAGTGTCACCAGCCAACATCACCAGCACCAGCATCGCCATCAGCACCAGTGCAAGGATATTAAGCAGCAGGACCAGCAGAAGAATCAGCAGTAGAAGCAAAGACAGGCCGAGTAAGTAGAGCGGAAGCAACATTATCAGCAGCAGGAATAAGAACTACAGTGGGAGCAAGAGAGAGTGCAACAACTCTACAGGGCTTCGTGAAGGCCTGGTCCAGAATCCAGACATGTATCGACGAGATAACCATGCGCAGCGCTGACTTGATCACAAGGCCTAAGTTCTACTGTAGGTCTCAGTTCTTCTATCGCGTACCAACCCACGCCTGTCCAATGCATGCTGCCGACAAGAGCACGTCACGACGAGCGAGCACCGACGAAACCAAACGTGGGGTCAGTAACCAGCCCAATGCTCTCGTGTATTTTCTAGCGTTTCAACCTTTTCCCTCGCTCACATTGCCATAACCCTCTCATCCTATCCCCCTGGCCCTTGCATAACCCTCCTCTTGAACACGTGTCAAAATATTCCCAGATGAGCTCCCTCATCCGACGGCCACCTCCTCCTGATCCTTCCCTTTCCCGTTCAATCACTTGAAACGTCCAGCAGACAGTTCAAGGTGTTGAACAGAATGTCATTCCTGCCCCTTCCTAAGGGTGATCTCTCTGCCCGGCAACTCTTCTCTCGCTAGTCTTCCATTTCGTCGATGAAGCAAACACAAGAACACAGCTTCGCTTGTTCTTGGCCCGCCTAACACCAATTATTTCACACCTCGCCGGGCCTCGCCCCCTGTATCCGGCGTCCACGCCATCACCTACGCACCTGGCACGTCGAGCAGGGACTGCTGTTATTCTGCCCCACTGATGCTTCTTGCCGGGCTTCCCCTTGCGACGAACGCCTGTCAAAGGAAGCTCCGCTCATGAGGGCCTTCAGAGCTGCCAGGTTGCCCTCCCCCCGGACAGCCTCGCGCCGAGTAAGGGCTTCCGAGAGCTTCCCAAAGAACACCGGTGATCGCAGCTGAAAGAACACGATAGGAAGCCAACCATTGAACCCGTCCACCGCGGACGCCAAGAAAGATACGAGTTGTCAAATTTCACTTATCATTGGCCTATACCGAAACAGAGTACGTGTAGTTCAAAGCTTGTTAAGGACGTGTCGTTTGAAGGTCTGCAAGCCCACCCTGCTCTACCGGCCGCACCGCGAACACCCATCACCCGCGTTATTTATTTTTTTGCTCTCTGTCGATCCTAAAACCCCTCTCCTTTCCAGCAGCTGCCGTCTCCATCAATCCTTTCGCATGGCGACCAGCCTCGTCCCTCCAACCTAGAACATCTCGGGAGGGGACACTGTAGTATTCTTACCGCAGGGTCCCATGCCCCCTTTGGACTCCTTCGCTGGTGGAAGTATCCTAGAAACGCCGGGTGGATGTCCTCAGGGTGCGGACGTTTTCCCACCTGCACAAGTGAACATTGGAGGTAATCTTGTGGTTTCACTCCCGTAGCCAAATCATGACGTCGGTGCATTTTTGATTGAAGCGAAATGTAATGCGAAACGACTTGAGATAATCCGCGTGGTGGCGATTTGTTGCTCCTTGTCTTCCATATTGATGTCTTCTCCTATTCTCCAAAGACAATTGTTGAGAATATATCGGTTTGGATCTTGACACGGAAACCTGGAGGGTCAGACAGAAGGAGATAGAGAAGCTACGGAGGTAATGACAGGACATCAGCTCATCATGATGGGTTATTTTTTGCTCTTACAGCTGAATTTGCAAAGAAGCTATTTACTAGTTCAATGTTTGGCTCGAGCTGTGTTTTTCGTTGGTACTCTACACCCCGCAGGGTAGCATCGGTTGGACAAGGTGAATGAATGTCGACCCCTGCAAGAAGGACCTATATTGAGCAGGGCTCAAATAATGACTCTGGCTTAAACCATTGGACGTGGGCATTACTAGCCAACATATAGGATACAGCGTGTTCAGGCGGCTGAGCCTAGTTTCCTTACCCAGCTTCCTGCATTTTCGCACGTCAGAGCCTGGGATTTTCATGAATGTGTTTTCTCGGAACCTGGGTTTCTTGTAAGATTGTTCTTTGTGAGTGCGGTACTGTATTGATTCAGGCATACACCTATGCTGTGGATGAAAAACATCGTCTCGGCCCAAAAAAAGCATTTCAAACCAAGATATACAAACTCTAGCTGCAATGTCCACCCACCCAGCTCGTCTTGACCCCTACTACCCTCATTGTACGAATAAACACGCGTTCAATTTCTACTATGGACACTAAAGCGTTTTCGCCGCAGGTCTCGCCTGGCCGGAACGACAGTCTTCCAGTCCCAGCTTGGCCAGCTCCACCGATCGCTTGGAGGAGCCCCACTGCCCCGCCCCACCGAGCTCCTCCTCGAACTTGTGAGTCTGCAGGGTGTTTGTCCCCGTGTCGGAAGGATACATCGATGAATAGATCGTGTTCAGGGAGCACGAGAAAAGGGAAGACGCTGCAACACACAGTTGCCTTGCACCCGCAAGTGGTCCTCATCGTGCCACAAGTTTACTCGATTCCGCCAAGGGAGAAACATATGCCACAACAATAGATTATTCCTCTTCATAACGGTCCCGCGAACCGCAAACTACTGCGGATCACCGTGACACAGTGTTGGAAGCAGAAGCCAAGATGCGAAAATGCGCAAAGAGAAGGCATAGAAAAATGGAAGGACGACATGATGACGACATTGTAACCCGGGCACCCAACTATATCAGCGCTCGAGGAGCACCTCCCAACCTCTCTCTGTGTGACATGGATACCTCGTACATCATCTCCGCTAGCTTAGCCTTGATAGCCTTCTGTTGAGCCCGTTTTATCGCCTTGGTCCGATCTCTGCGGAACAAAAAGGCGTGCAGATAACAAATGGAGCGGAGAACACAACTTGAAAACAGTCCAGCCAAGGATCACCAACAGGCCCTCTGTGTGTTGCGTTGCGTACTGTGTAGCTCGTTTTTGGTTGGCACCCAAAAAAACTCCAAGATTAATTGCGCCAAATCCAGTTATTGTGGACTTCGATGACGGGATGTTAGCTGTCTATTCGTATTAATTTAACACAGAGTGAATTCGTCCTGGCAGACAGCGCCGATAGGTGTGACTCCCGCGCACTGCCACAATAGTCATCGCTCAACGACCCCTACACTATTGTTTACCCTGGCAAAACTAAATTATAAGAACCGGCTCCTCTACGAAGACTACGGCCCCTCATACGCATATGCGTCTCAAGAATACGCAAGGGGCAGAATTAGTGAACGGTCCAAAAACAATTGACGCTTCCTCTTGAACTAGGTCGAGAACGCGGATGCGCTGAACTTCAGCTTCACTGCAACCAAACCCACACACACGCCGATGCACGTGGAGATACGGAAAACTACCGCTTCCGTGCAGATCACTCCCCATCGCCGCTTGCCTCTGGGAAAGGAGATGGGCCATTCTTTCCGTCAAGGCCTCCTCCGCGTAGTCGACCTGGCGTCGTGGTTGTCTCCGGCGTCTTCGGGTTCGTTTTCCCGCTCCACCCATACTCACCGTATCACGCACGACGCCCCGTTCTTCTACCCCGTCTGCCGGGACAATGTCGTCATCACTCGCCGGCGGTGTGGTTACCACCGCTGCCCAAGGTTCTGCTCCCGTTATACTCCCTTGCGGTGCCTGATTCGATTGTGTCCACTTGGCTATTCTCCGGGCTAGCTGCTGCCGCTTGCGCTCTGCACGAACGTCACAACGTGCGGCAGTGACATCGTTTTGTGTCAGCATGCAAGTCTTCGTTTGGTAGTGGGGTTGGTGTTGTTGATGGCACTGGCTTTGTTGGAAACAGGTGATTACCTGGAAATGTCAATGCCTGCGCCGGTTCGACTTTGTTACTCACCAGAGGAATTGGGGTTGCCAAATCTCCCCGCGACCATCTGTAACGCATGAGCCGCAAAAGGCGGTCACGGTGGCCACGGGAAATGGAAGCCCTACATGTATACGTATTTTGCTGAACGGGCCTTGACCACTGCGGCTCTGCAGGAAACCACCAATCGCTAGCGTTCAGATGACCGATAGGGTAACCTACAGGAGTGCCGAAACAAAAACATACCCTTGTTTTCCCTCCGGGTTTTGAGCATCTTGCGCAAACGCCTCCTTCGCTGGTCATCAACGGCTTGCCGTTCGAGGATAGATTCGTATTCCTCTTTGCTCAAGAATCCCGTCATCAGCAAGTCCCTCGCTCTCCAAAGTCCCTCCTGGGTCGACAGGTACATGTTGTACCTTGAACGATATTTGTATGGAGCGAAGGGCGAATCGCTAAGTGCAAGCCAGACCCAGTTGGGAGCACTCGCAGCGATGAACTCCCACTCGCGAGCAGGAGAAGATCAGGAGCAACGGTTAGAGAAGAGACAAACAGCCATGGGGAGCGATTGCTCTCTACCTCCCAGAACGTTGTCAGATCGTGGCCTACAAGCCGCAGGAGTGACTTCCCATCTAAACCCGATGGGGACTCGATTACAGAATATCAGGAAGAGGGTTTGCCAAATAATTCCTGTCTCTTAGCCACATACTTGACTTCGACATGCTTGGAGAGGCACGCCTCTCTCGACCTCGCGATAGTAAAGCAACCAAGCATTCAATCACTCCTCCCATGGTAGCAGCAACCGTCTGTCCTTCCCAGAAGCTATACACAACACGTAAGGGACAGGTTAACGCCTGGTCAAGGAAAGAGGAGGTAGTTCTAACATCCGCGGACTGAGATAGAAGTAATGAAGTGATGGAGTTAACGGCACGTCCACCGTCACAGGGAGGCGGTGAATCTCACAAAGAGGAAGTCCACTGCGTTACCAACTCGTCTTCAAAACAGAGACTACATTGACCAATCGAACGGTTTTATATAAAAAACAATGGTGCAAACCACTCACAATGTACAAAACTCCTCATACTCGAGCGACACGCCTTCCACTCCCACGGACGTAGAAGAACCGTCGTTTCTACTGGTCACGGACGTCACATTTTCTCCGATATCCCGTGCTTCCAGGATGAGGTGTTCCGCAAAGTCCGTCAGCGCCCTACCACAATCGTTCGTTGTTACCGATACGCCTGTTGTTCCTGCGGATAGTGTGTCAGTAGTTTTTCATTTTCTCCACGCGGGAACGTTTCCCGGACGTCTACCTAGCTTGGTATTACCGTTGTCACACCGTGAGGTACGCCGAACCAATCCCCAAACTCGAAGAAACTATAGAGAAGCGTCGGCTCCGCCTACCCCGTTGACTTGGATTCGCTCGATACGTATGGCAAGGAAACACCGGTGCACAGAGACGAATACGCTTGAGAAACACGTGATCGTATGTCCTGTTCTTTTCGTACCATTATGCTGTCCTTACGTTCAATGATGCTACAACGTGACCATTGGTTTGTTTCCAGCATATGTGAAGATGAAAAAACCTCAAAGCAATCCTAACAGCTTGCCTGCCCTAAGGCACAAGATCAAATGACTGTTTGATGCACAGTCCTTCTTTTGGGGGACCTCTTTGAAGCAAACATGGGACCCTTATTAAACAAGGTGACCGGGTGTTGCCTGGAAAAAATCGTTAATAATCCCCCTGATCAGCCTACGATACCCGAAAAGGCTCCGACCCGGAATCTATATATCTTGTACCTACAAACATGTGTGTCTAGGCTTTCGACAGGTGTTTTGCCCACCCTGGTTTGAGGTTGAGGCGTTGCGTAGTGCCTTCTATCGTCAAGGAATCCCATCGGCCGCTTGTGTGAGACATGCGCACATCGGTGTCCTTCTCCACGAAAAAAACGATATAGGTAAACAAACGTCAGAACAACAAGGAGAGTAGAAAGGGAGCAGCAGCGACGAAGAAAGTGTGTTTCATTGACAAAACTTGGAAACATTGCCGACAGGCGCGAGGCCAACAAATGGGTAGGTTGAAGCGTTTTATTGCGTAAGGTGGAATGAATCACTTTGCAGAACTGGTATGTGACGACATAAACAGCAGGTCACGAGGTCAACAGCAAGGCAGTCAATCGGACTGTAGCATCTTGTAGCTGGTCTGTACGCCACGTTGAGCGCAGCCGGTGACGGAACAAATACAGACGAAGGTTCTCAGGAGAAGAATGTATCCCAGACAGCTCCAATCGTCGTGTGGCGCCCACTCCCAACCTGTGAATCACCGGATGAAAGTTTTCACGACGCTATGTGTGCTTTGCCAGAAAACGTTCTAGGGTCGGGGCAGTCCTAGACGAGGGAGGCGGGTGGCCGTTTCGATCGTGTGTTTGGATACCTCCCTCAGCGCCCTTGGGTGGCAGAGTGAAATCCAAACTTGGTGAGGGTGCAAAGGTAACAAACGCAACAAGCTAATCCGAACTACGGCTGACATCTTCGAACAGGTGGGTTGTAGGCCAGAAGACTCAGGTCAACGATCTCGCAATCACCGACACTGCCAACACATGCCCGTTGGTTTTTCTCCTGTGCCTCATGTGTGAAAAGCTTATCCGTGATTGGGGTTCGAGGCCGGCGAACACAGGTGAAGCTTTGAAGGTTGAGGTGGATAAGAAGAAACCACAGCTGCTCTAAGGGTCCAGTCATTACCAACATCAACGGCAGCAGTAGCAGTAGCCGCAGCAGCAAAACCAAGTCAACAACATGTGCAACTACAAGAACGAAGGCGCACGCTGGCACACATCTCACAATTACAAACCTGTTCGGCGCTGCAGTGCAATAGTTTCCGGCAACTTTGAGTGCTGTGTTCTCCAGAGCGCCACAGTATTCTGAACGGGGCGTAGCCGGCAGAAAGCATCACCTGAGTGCAGTTCGTGGCAACGATGCCGGTGGTGCGAGGGTGGGAGGTAAGCGGGTTCATGTGTGGAGACAGAAAGCCCACGCGAAAGACGGGCATAGAGAAGGAACCAAGAAGAAATACTAGCATAGTCCACGCGTTCACAAGTGTTGTTTCGGTCCAGCAGGCGCTAGTTTGTCGCTTTCCCAAAGAGATGGGGGGATCTGTAGTACCGAGACACGGTCCTTGTCGAAGGAACTTTCGTCGTGTTGGTTCGAGAACTTAAGATCAATATCGGGAGACGAGAAGCTATAAGATGTCTTGTGCTACCTGCTACGACGGACTCCTCGCATCGACCCGGGCAGCTATCAAGTGCTTTCGTCGGAAGTGTGTCTGGGTTTGTTCAGAACGGACGGCAGTGAGGCCGACGTTGACGACAACAGGTTCTGGTGCTTGCCAATAACGCACGGTATCGGTTAGTGAAGGGATGAAGTCACAAGGCCTGCTGTAGATCTACAAAGACCTAGCAGAGTCTAGGCTTACAAAGGGCTGAGCAGGGTCGAACTTGACTCCAAAATGCCGGAGCTCCGTCGGGTGCTGATCCCTACCGGCCTCTTGCAGAGCCGTAAAGTATGCCCCTATGGTGTTGTAGACCCCGAGAGGCACGCTCACGGCTACCGCAACACCACTGACGTCCATGTCGAGCCACCTTCCGCAGAGAGAGAGCGAGGAAGAAAGGTAATATCAATAACAACAACAACAAGTTTACAAAACACCACAGCTATAGTCTGACCGGGTCAGCACGACGATTGAGGTCAATTCCGAATGAAGTCCGAGATAGGCCACTAATAATTCTTCATGGGTCGTCCTTCCTTGCTGATGCCGGCGAGCGACGCGTAATACAAGTCGAGAATGCTGTGAAACACGACAATGCTTCAGGCAATAGCGCCGTGTTGGTGTTTCCCCCGTATCTTCGCCAAACGTACGTGTTAGACTTGGTGACCACAATCGCCGGCATCGCCACCTCGAGCACGTGGAGCGCGTTCTCTCCGTCCTCCATATCGCCTTCGCTCAAGGCCTCCAGGACGCTCTCGCATTTCCTCAGGCTTGACTTAAACGTGCCGTCTCTTCCGGGGGCCCCGTGCCTCGAAGCCGCGGCGGTCAGCGCGCAAGGTAGGTCCCAGCCGTCGATGGACAGGATCCGCATGCCGATCTGAGGTGTTATTGATGCACGGCGGCGCCGTGCTGTATCGAATAAAACAACGTTGCAGATGTGATAGACTCCAGAATGTATCATGCGCTATCTGTCGGAATCCTGGTCACAGCGTGGCGTGCGATTTGAGCTCAGGCTTCAGCTGTTGTTATATACTGGTGAGCAACAAAAAACATGCCCGAGCCTGTTTTTCGACGAAACGTCGTGAGTTGGATCGGACCGCGCATGAGGTCCAACTCAATGAGACCCGTGACCACCGGGCACAACAAAAACGTCCGTGGTAGTCGGCCCGGCGGCAACGGCAAGCAAATTGAAATTCGACCGGCGACCACTCAAGCCGTGTGTAAAAAGCTTGTCGGCGATGATAACGCCTGTGGGAATGATTGGCTGTAGGCAAACACCACGAAGGACCAATGGTCCTCCTCCTATTCTTCCACTGTACAAAGGTGTAGAGTAGCACTGTCCATTCCTTACATGATAACGCGCGGCCCTCTAGGGTGGTTTATTCGCCCAAGTTTCCGCTACCATGTAGTGATCTTTCGTGGAGAGATCAGAAATCAACAACGCAGAGTTCGACTACCGCGTATTCCAATACAATTCGTTTCAACTGTCTTGATTCCTCCTGCTGCTCCAGCGAGCGTTGTGTGGCCGACTTTGCTGAAGATCGTTTGGGGTTGCTACAAGAAGTACCAGCATTTGCCCCCTCTGATGGGCAGACAGATGATTTCCTATCAACTGGCGTTGTCGGTCTCGAGTCCGACCCCCTCCCCGGCACATGGACAGCACCTGTAGCGCCCTGACGTGCACCCTGCAGGCGCACCACGGCATGCCTGCAGCATTGTGCTGGTGTTTGGTGGCGTGGCCACAACAAACGGGCGAAAAAACGTTCACTATAAGGCAAGGCAAGCCTTTGTCACACGGGAGGAAGACATGTTCTTACCATCAGGGAAGGGTGCTCGGCGGCAGCGCTGTCTTCCTCCCAGCCGGCAACTACGACCATCCCCTCCTCGTCCTCCTCCACCGTCAGCCCCAGCGTATTGCACGTGAAGGCTATTTCGACTACGTTGTCCGTGGTGCACCCGATCGCCTAATTTCGTCGTCGGAAGTTCCGTGAAACTGCAGCAATCAGAGGTTGTCTTACCAAAGTGAGGCTGGAAAAATGTTCTACAAGAAAAGGGCGGAAGAACGTCGACTAATTCCGAGGTAGTCTCGGCTTGGTAGAATACGGCGACCGTTCTAGCACTGAATTTCAAGCCGCTTGCCAGATGGAATATGCTCGATTCATGGTATTTCCACGACAAATGAAGCTCTCACGAGGGTTTACCCGGCTGCCGATATTTAACCTTTCGATGATATATGAACTGCGCTTGCCATGAGCAGCGACAAGTCTACTGGGAGACTGCAGTGAACACCAGAGTAGTAGTACATACGGGGCACTCCGGGTGGGCCTAGTAGAGAATCCCCGCGTACTCACAGGCGGGAAAAAACGCGCCAGCTCCCACGCGTAAATCCTGTGCGAACACGTCACGTCCAGGTGCTCGAAAAGCGAGTACGCGCGTTGCCTTTCGGTGCTACGAGGAAGTGAGAAAAGGTCATCAAGGCAGGGTCGTGGAAACAATCATGAGCAAGACGAGGCCTTCATCACTTCCTCTTAGGCCGAAACGAGATCGTCCTGGTGGGTGGCACTTTTTTTCACGGGGGGAAGCACATTCTACCAACAAACCTCGTGAACATGTTCGGTCAGACTGCAACAAACGGCGCCCGTCAATGCTCCCCTGCCATTGTTTCATGAGAGGCAGACGGGAAAGCTCGACTGTCGTTTCTTGGCAATATGGTGATCAATGTTGCATAAGAGTCGCCGGAAGGGTCCCTTCACGCTTGGTGGATACCTGGCCAACTGTCACTACCAGAGCACCGGCAGCCGTTTTCCCGGCGGCCGCGTACTCAGTTGTTTCGTGTTTCTTCAACGCGACTTCAGATCTTAAGATTGGTCATTCTTCCGGATTCAAGCGCACGGTGTTTGCGAGACTCCCTCGGCACCGCGCCCTCCGCACTGCGTCGCCTCGACCACCCGCCCATTGTGCCCCACTACCTGATGCGCGGGCCGGGCCTCGCCTGGAATGCCACCGGGTAATTCTAGCGCAGTTGCAAACCCTACCACTGCGTCCCACAACGTGTTCGCTCGTATGGCAGTCGCTGCTGCCTCAACCTCCACGCACCCTGCGCTCCTCCCCTCCTTCAGGAGCTTCATCGTGAGCGTCCAGTCATCCCCGCCACCGTCATCGCGCCCCTTCGACCCAGCGATGGCGCTGCTGTTGTCCTTGAAACTCGACCAGCCGCCGACGCCGCTGTTGCGGCCGCCGGCGGTGAGGGTGCTCGCGTTTTCTGGGTCAGCCCCGATGGAGGGAAACGTTGTTCCTTTTGGAGTTTCGCTCCCCTCGAACACACGCGAAGATGGCTGTTCGGCGACAAGGTCATGGAGGAAGCAACCAGCTCACAATATGATGCCGGAGGAAGGAGCACTAGCCTACTGTTGGTCTTGGTGGCCATTCCAGGACGTTTTTCAGCCAAAAACGAAAGAGAAATCCCAATCCTTCTAGTGTTCTCCGATCATCTTGAAGCAAACTTCACTTTGAACAGCCTGTACTGCTGTGACCGCAATATCGAGAGCCCAACAACCATCCGCGTCATTTCGGGTCCAGTCGTCGGAATGTGGGAATCACTTGCCATCCTAGCTCCGCCAGTTCAGGACTGACTTTTGTGGAGCTACTGCCGGTAGTGCTACGAAGTTTCTGGGATGAATTGTTTGCCGCACGCTCTTTTGAAATCAATCAGTTGTCGATCGCAGACTAACGAGGTTATCACCATGCAATACGAGAAAACAGGAAAAAAACTTCACGTACTGAATGTAGGCTATGCCTGGACCTGGAAAAGGGGCTGCTGAAGGCGTTTCCAATCTCAACCCAACTACCCCCAATACCGAAGACGTGGTACCTAGCTCGGCGAGGAAGTTTCCCAGAACCATTCCCAGGATGGACAAAGCCGTGGAAATTATGGTGAGAAGAACGCGCAGGGCGGATAAAAAGGAACAACCACTACTTGCGCTTAGAAGATGTTAGGGCCTACCCACACGGGCGACAAAAGGTAGTATTTTCAGCCGCGCACCTCTTCCTCCCTGAATCCCCCTTTGTCGGACCCTGGCGAGTACATGGTGTCGCTATGCCGAGATTCGCTTTCTGGCCGTCAGACCTCTTCCAAAGTCGTCTTTTTCTCCACGGTGTAAGGAGACCATTGCCACACCGGCGAGATAATTTCACGCATGCCGGGGGGGCGCGAGAAACGTAGTCTTTTTCCACCGGCACAAAAAATGTTCATGTATGCACATATGTCATTGGTCGCAAAGACTATATCTTGCTGGTTGTCATGACAACCTTTCAAATGGTAGAGTCTAGTGTGTTCCCCTTGTTTCATCCTCGAACGAGCAAGCGTTGGACGAAGTCCACACGTGCCTACTGCTGTACCGATTGGTATGGCAAGGACGGAGGGGATCCCGTGGAGAGGCTACCTGTCCCGGTATACGAGGTTCGAACTACTCTTTGGAACAAACAGTACGACGAACAACCCTCACGTTCCACGCAATCTTCCAGATCGTCACGGCAACGCTGACACATCAACCGGATTCTCACACAGACGGGGACGGCAACTTGTTGGAAGACCAAAACAACATGGATGTGCTGGGGGTGAGACTTTGTGTTTCGGGACAGTAGCCTCACGTACAGTGTGTGTCATACAGCAGCACCGCTTGTGGCATACTGGTACTTCGAAATACATACGCATACGTGCGTGAATCTTGGGCTGCGAACGGAGCTCGCATCCAAGTCACAACCAAAAATGATGCCACTGCCTGGAAGAGGGTACAACGTTCACCCTCACGTGGTACCTCCCCTGCCAACGCGCTTATTCCTAGGCTGCATCATGTTTCCACGTTACCACCACGCACTCTGCTTGTGTGGAAACGCTGCGGCTTGATGAGCTTGGGCTTGCCGTTGACATAGACCGCCCCGTCGGAATCCGTTCACTCAGAGCCTCCTCGAGACGACATCAGCAAGATGTGCCTACCCATCTTCTCCCCTTCGGCACAGCATTCGATGGAAGCTCGTCCCTCGGAAAACGTGCGGCACCGTCTATTGCAAACGTTTGTGTCAATCGCCTACAGTCGAAGCATTTACCGCGTGCTTTGTGTCCGTTTGGCTTTCGCTGCATGTTCTCGTAGAACATATCTTCGTATCATATATTTCCTCGTTGTGATTTTTTGTTTCGTAGATCCAAGAATCGGTTTCATCTCCCTGAAAAGTAGGAACGAATTCCAGATGATCTCCTGATATGGCGGAGTTCGAAACCCGCACTCTAAACACTACAGTACATTGGGCGGGCAATCAATCCCCCGAAGACCAGTTTCGAATGTCTCGTGAGCCCCGGAGATAATAGAGGACAGACAAGGTACCCTACAGTACTGGTTTCCCGACGACGCGCACGTGCCAAGCACCACAACCTGGTAGAGCAGTATACTTTCACAGCAGTATCCACCTTCATTGCCTATATACCTCTAAAGGCCTCCCGCCAGTTCGTAGGACATACTCCATGTTTGGTCGGATCTACATATAGTCTATATACAGCTGCCCCACTGCTGTATGTCTCCTTCTCTCTGTTTTCCTGTGGGAGAACAGGATACGAACCTTCCTCGCAGCTAGCACGCGGGTAGTGGTGCACAGATGAGGAGCAGTAACACCACGCCCCACGGATTTGAAGGACGGGCACATGCGTCACGAGTGATGCTGGGGCCGCGGTGAACAAAACTATGTATGCATACGCTGTAGTTATATGAGTACCGGTAGGATATTTTTCACTACCCCGTCCAAGCGTGTGAATGAGAGTGCGAGGATATTACGAAACAGGCGCGAGATGACACGATGACAAAGGTGGGCTACCATGGCGTATTGCTCTTGACCGATCAGCCCCCAAGCCGTGCCTGAGGGGGGCATGCTTATGCTTATCGAGGACCACCCCGCAACTCCACAGACCTACATGACATCTCATGGGGCGACTGACTTGTGTCGCCCTGTGGTCTCCCTTGTGGCTTTGCCCCTAGGCCGGCCACATAGAAAAGGGTAGCCCACACAGAGCACTCAACCACAAGAGGCCCATGACAGTTCGAGAAACCCCCCATTCTCAATCAGCCTCGCGATTTTTGGTCGTTGGTGCATCGTTGAAACCGCGCTTGCTTATGATCCGCAAGTGAAAAAACTTTCAATTCACACCGCCATCGTACGGCTGCCGGAACAGAGGAAAACCTTGTCCTTGAGGCAGATTCTGAACTCATCGTACGAGGAAACGGCCGGCGCATTGTCTCGTTTCCCACGCTGCTTGCCGCCAAAAGAAAACACTCCAGTTGGTGGCATACTGCCGTCGGGGACAAGGTCACAGAGACTACAGTACCATATGCTTGATTTCAACATTCGCACAATGTGAGGATACTCAAAAAACGAATCAATTGCAACATGCAAACCTATTCGACAAGGAAAAGATCGAAGACACAAACAAACAACCACGGACGAACACAAGGATACAACCAGGGTAAGCCTATCCCCGAACGGTGTTCGAACTGCGATCACGAAAAGGGGACAACCCATTCAAGCACTTGCTCTACATACACACTCCCGCGCTACAATTCCCCGCGTCCCGCGGCCGCGAGGCCCGCTTGCCGGTCATGCTGGCACACGCTGACCCAAGTGCAACGCGACGCGACCCGGAGATCAACAATGGCTGGTGTGTGCTTGTCCTAGGAAGGTCAAAACGCCCCCAGTATTTTCTCGTGGTCAATCTTCACGTCGTAGGTGTGCCCACAAAGCGAGCAGGAAAGGGCACAAATGATCTGATCCGTCGTAACGTTCTAGCTCGTCACGCCACTCCATGAGCATGACAAAGCCCTCATTACCCCGGCGTTTGAGACCACACAGTACTCGCAATGCTCTCGGAATGCCCAAAAAAGGCCGCTGTTGTCGGTCCTGCTTCTCCCTGTTTCCTCCAGCTCGCAACAACACGCGCAACGCCCAGACTTGTCTCGCAATGCACACAGCACTGCTGCTACTTCTACAGCTCCGCAATTCCCCCTACTCGCAGATGACAAAACTTGAAAAGAAGAAACTGTTGCTGTCCCTGCATGCCCACCGTGCCATGTGACAAACTCCGTAGTACTTTTACCCTCCCAACGCCGATGCGTGACTCCTGGCATATAGATCGGGTCACGCCAAGCTCGCCTTCGAGAGTACGAAGCTCTGGTCCTTTGTTCTTTCGCTGACGAGCCAGGTCTTGACCTCGGCGCCGTTGACCTTGACTACCCATCGGTGAGTCAAGAAGGTGTTGATCTTGAACGTCTACAGGAACAAAAACAGGAACAAGGAGAACAAGAAGATGCACCAAGGGACCAATAAGAGAAGCAAGACGAAAGACACACATCTCGACCCTTGCGGTTTAAGAGAGGGTAGTGGATTGATTTCGTGCATGATATCATCGCGTACTGCAGGGATTCGGACAGACAGTCACCCATCATCCGTGCAGCAGCCCGCGTCTTGCTCTCATTGCCGAAACGGAAGGAAGGGTGCTCGAGTTGGGTCCGCGACCGGGTGGTGTGGTGGGAGGCAAAACGCCCGACATCGCGTTACAACGACATGCTGGCCCACTGCTGGAGCAATACGTGCGGTCTGGGCGACAAGACTGCAGCTTGAAATTGCGTCATGGACCACGCTTCTCGACGTCTCCAGCAGGCGTAGGCGGGCGCGATTCATAAAATGATTTTCGCATCGATGCTGGGGAAATCCTGCAGGAGCGTCTCTCAGGGAACGGTCGGTGAAGAAAAACAATAATAACCGTGAACACGGAGATGAAGACCGCATCTACGAAGGATGGGTTTCCTAAAGTGGCCCGGCGCGATCGCCTTCAAATCGTTGAGCCGTTCTGTAAGTTTGCCCGTTTATGACCACGCGCCGCGTACCACATAGTTTGCGATGAGTTCAACCGCTTAGCCCTTCGATAAGATTGCCCGTTTCTGGGCACGCGCCACATACCATACAGGTTGCGATGAGTTCAATTCTAGCCCTGCCATAAGACTGCCCGTTTCTGACCAAGCGCCCACATGCCAGATAGATTTAGCGATGAATTCACTTCATAAACTGCAACAACAGGACACGATCGACTAACCTCTCCGATCCTCCAGTCCCTGTCCATCCACAGCTGCTTCCCGTCGAACCACAGGGATGCCCCCTCGACGTCCTCGTTCAGAAACGCTGCCTGCACCTGCTCTCGATTTCGATTGGTTCATCAATCGCGGATTTCGAAAAAAAAAAAAGAAAAAGGATAGACTTTACACTCTCTTCGTCGATTTGCGTAGCGATAGCTCTTGCTGTAGTCTATGAGAAGAATCGACGAGAAAAAGAGCAACGACGGTATTGGGGGGGCGTTCGCAACCTGCAGCACGCCACCTTGGTGCGCACGCTCACACGCTGGGGCGGATAAGAGTCAGTTCAGCAAGAACGACAATCTGGAGTTGTTAGAACGCCTCTGGCTGGCACTAGAACACAACACAACACGCCGTTCGTAATGCTTCAAACGAAAGCGTTGACGAATTCGATTTGCAGTGTCATCACTGCTGTCCCGACTTGCGAATATTGTGCATATAGACTTAACCGTTGTAAATCCAAACAGCCATGACATGCATCGAGCACAAGTATGGGCCTGGGGCGGCCTGAGCTTGCACTGATCAAAGCTACATACTACAAACCGTTAGAGACCCCTGGACAAAATCGTCAGCTTAGAATCCACGAACGTAAGTCACGCGCCAATTTCGGCGAAAGAGGCAGTCCGGCAAACTCCATTCACCTGAAACGTGGGGGGTCTCAGGTCAAGACATGAGGCGGAATTCAAGGTCAACCTAATTCGGCCGGAACATGCAGTCGATAATCCTAACCCCAACCCCAACTCAGTCGATTCTATACCATATCCAGTATGTTTGCTTACAAAGAAAAATCTGCGGGGAGACTACTGTATAGTCAATGCTGTTCACGGGCACGAGCTAGGACATCACAATCAATTAACTTGGAACATGTGTCCAGGTGTAGGGTGACAGCTCACACAGGGGAACAACTCAATTCACCTGGAAGGTGGGGTCGGGCACGATGTTGTTGCCCGCCTTGTCCACAGTCCTGCCGGTCTCAGGGTCGACGCTCGAGAGACCGTACCTCGGACCGTTCCATACCCACAGGTTGGCGGCCCACTTCTGGCCGTCGATCACCGGGCAAGCACCGTGCTCGCTGGACTGGACGATCGTAGAGAGGGGCGGCAACCGGAGAAAGAGTACGCCGTGTACCGGCGGTACCAGATAAACATTGGTTTGCGTGTGTGATTCTCGTAAATTTTCTGTCCGGGAAGGCACGAACAACACTTTTTCGAAAGCCGGGGGGGGGGGGTCGGAAAACGCGGATGCACGTCCAACCGATCGGCAACACGACTCACCAACACAAAACCAAAAAGAGGCAACAGAGCAAAAACAAATTGAAAGAAAAAACTCACCAGATCTTTCCTCCCATCCGGGTGCTGGTTGTAGAACAACACCGCCTGACCCCTCTTGGGTGCCACCACCATGTGCCGTCGGCACTGCAGCAAGAGCTTCTCCTCCCAGCCGCTCCGCGGAAGGTCAAGGTTCTCAAGCACCTGGCGTTCGCACCAGGGAGGGGAGGGGGGGTGTACTCATAGTCGTGCATGCCGCAGTCGTAAGACCATTGACCTCGCATCCCTACAAAGCCGGGACGGAGCACGCCGGGTTCTCACCGGACCAGACTCTCACATCACCAAGCGCGAAGCGCCGTGAGGTATTTGGCGAGTCGCATGAAGGGTGAGCTGCATCCTGCTAAGGGTGTTCGGCATCTTGTGCTTACTTCCTTGCGTACGGATGACAGCTACGTATGACTTAATTTATCTTCTGGTGCTTTCACTTCCAGAGCCAGTCGTAAGCACTGTGTAACTGCCTCGAGGATGCTTGACCACTTTAACACAACGTGGTGCGATCATCCCCCGTTGCGCGGAGTGAGGGTTCTCCACCCCGCACAACATGATCTACTCGACCACCATTATGGTGACCGCCAAAAAAAAAAAAACGAGGTAAAAAGAAAAAAAACGGTAACCTGGTTGCCGAGAGGGGGGGGGGGGGGGGGATAGCAGCCCTACTGGTGAAAACACGACCCCAATCTGGGGGGGGAGGCACAGCAGCCCTACTGGTGAAAACACGGCCCCAATCTAGGCAATACGAGCCGAACGGCGTGCATGCAAGAAGGGTTCAGTAGCGCCGCAGGGTATTTCTATCCAGTTGACATGTTGGATAAAGCATACAATCGGGGAAGTAGGGTTAGGGATAGGGATAGGGTCTGCGTACCCCCTCCCTGTTCTTTTCCCTCGTATATTTAATCTCTCGCCGGGATTAGGCCAGAGGGGCAGCGGGAGAGAATAGCGCCTGGAATGAACCACGTGATGGGTGATTGGCTGATAAACTGGACACATGTCATCCGGGGACAGGGGACGGGGGAGGGGCAAGCCAGTGGCATGTGCTGTATGTGTGACGACACACATCCCTTCCCCGCTGCAAAACCACTTGTGAAATGAATATGTTCTCTCTCTCAAATGTCTCGTTCTCTCTGGTTCTCTCTTTCTCTGCCTCTCTCTCTCGATCTCTCTCTCTCTCTCTTTCTCTCTCTCTCTCTTTCTGTCTCCCTGTCTCTCTCTGTTTGCGTGTGTCTCCATCTCTCCATTTTTTCCCCACCTCTCGAACGGGAACCTTTGTGTCGGGCACGAGGTGGTGGTCGATGCCCGGGGCATGCGTGAAGACCGTCTCTCCTCCCTCTCTCACATCGTTGAAGTACAGCACCACCTAACACCCAACGGAGAGGAAACGGAGATACGAAACCGGAGACAGACAGCCGGACGGTCAGACAGACAAACAGACAGACAGACAGACAGACAGACAGACAGACAGACAGACAGACGGTCAGACAGACAAACAGACAAACAGACAGACAGACAGACAGACAGACAGACAGACAGACAGACAGACAGACAGACAGACAGACAGACAGACAGAGAGGCGCCAGGGGTTGTAACGCCCGCAGCTCAGACTTGTTGATATACATAATTCAGTTCATAAGTTTCAGGACACACTTCCACACACATGTAGACGGTTGCCAACCTTACCTTATCCTCAAAAAAACTCGTTCCCAAAAATCTAGAGGTAAATCCACATGGGTACAACACGACGTGGTTACGCCGCCGAATCGAAACAAAACCGAGAACGAAAGAAAAACAACAAGAACAAGAACAAGAACAAAAATAAGCGTTATCTCACCGTGGCGAACCTGTTGGTTCCGAGCCCTTCCGACTTGAAGTCGTGCCCCTCAGCGCTCTCGAGGTAGTCGAAGTGGGCGACGTACGCTTGGCTCTCGTTGTACCGCAGCACCTTCGCGCGTGTTCAAGGTGGCACGTGGGAAAACAAAAACAGAAGGACGCAGGTGACATACGCACATCAATCACACAGATCCATTGCAATTTGTTACCGCCGTGGCAGGTGGTAGGAAAACGGGGAAACAAAAGGGCAAGGAAGGAGCAGCAGGCCGGGCAACCAAACCTCGAACACGAATTGGTGGCAGCAGCGGAAAAACTGTATGAAAGGCAGCGGGCCGCATTTCAGGCGAGCACAACGACACTCGAAAAAGACGATCCAAGCGTTGCGCAAAGGGGGGAGAAGTGTCTGCAAGGTGGTTGAGGGCAGGCCGGAGGTGCAAGGTATTCGTCAAGAGTGCATTGCCTTAAAGAAAGAGGAAGCCGCAGTCGCAGAGCAAGTTCGCTTGGCAGCGATCAATTCGGCCACCTACAAGAAGGCGGTGAAGGAAGGACAGAAGAATCTCATGGCCGTCATGGCCATCAAAGGCAGAACGACCAATAAGGGGTGCTTACAGCTATCGTGACACACACAGGTTCGAGGTCTCAAGCGTTAACGCAATCTATTTAGCCTCCCTTCGTTCCCAAACAGAGTCGACTGCATACTTATCGCGATACACAGAGGTCCTAGCAACGGCAACACATGCGTGCTTTAACACATCTGTCAACCTCCGCGCTTTCGTTTCCGACAGACCTGAAGCCCGTCGGCCCAGGTCTCGTGGTACTCCTCGATCCCCAGCAGCTGGAAGATGCGCCGTTTCAAGGCCTGAGCGGTATTGGTGTGGGTGACGAAGGCGTTGTCGCTGGTGCGGGTCTTGCTGATGGCCTTGCCCTTCGTGCCCGTCGAGGACCGCTGTTCCAGCGAGGGAGGAAGCAAGCGGCGTGCGTGCGCGTGTGGGAGCGGGCGTTTCAAGAAAATTCGCGAAACAAGGAGAAAAAAAAATTAGGGAAGGAGAACGAACCAACAACAAGCGTGTGTGGGGGGGGTTCAAATAAACAAGCAAACGAGGAGAAGAACCGAGGCAAGGAAAAATCGACAGCAAGAGCGTGTGGGTGTTTCAAAGAGAGAAGAGAAAAAACGTGCGGGGAGGACAATCTACAATAGTAGCTTCTTTTCGTCGCCTCCCTTGGCGTGTGTAAGAGGAGGTTGTGCCGGAAGAGATGCGGAAAAGAAGGACGAGCTATTCTGAGGGGGGCAATAGGAGGAACCACGCCATAGTATACACAAACCCCAGACACAAGTACTCCGAGTTGAAAGGCTACACCTTTTCTCTCTCTCTCTCTCCACCCGTCCACGTGCATCTACAGCAACAAGAAACAGTAACGAAACAGAATACAGAAATGTTGCCCGTAACGCCGAAACAACGCCGCCAAAACGCCACGTCAACGACAATCACGGCTGCGGCAGCGGCGGCGGCGGCGAGCTTGTCGCCACAGCAGAACAACAGACCTTGAGGCGGTAGGCCTCCTGCGTCATGCCCAGGGCGTCCTCGATGATGCTGTCGGCCTCCTCCATGTCCATGAAGTTGTACAAGGAGAACACTCGAGGGGAGTGCGAGAGGGTCTCCAGAACAACCTCCGCGCCTGCCAACCACACACGGTGCGAAGGTTGTTCGTAGGACGACAGGGACGGCGAAAAAGGTTCAGCGTTTGCGGTTAGAGACAAGAGGTAGCTTTGAAAATCGATCCAGGGTGTGTGATATCTTAATGCCACCTACGGTAGGCACAAGGGGTCAGCGAACGGGCTCAACGGTGCAATTAAGGAGGGCAAGTGTTGTTGTTCCTCGGTCAAGAACACCATTGTTAAGGACAGCCCCCCGGTTAAGGACAACTTACTTTTCACAGGAACGGTGCCTAGCAGAATGTACAGCAGAAGGAGGGGTATCAATCTTAGGGACACCCCCCCGCGGCTTAAGGGCGCCTGTTTTAAAGAAAAATCTTGTATGTCCTTACCCAGGGGCGACTGCAATCACCATGACCGGGATATTAGGGTCTGTGGTGAACTTCCGCGTTTATGCTCAGGAGCAGAGCGCTATTATTGGGGAAAGGTTCGGTTGCTGAGATCGCGTCGGGCGAAGGGCGAGGGTTTGGGGACGTCATGCAACTACGGCCAGAGATTGGGTCCACAACGCAGCCCTGACGCCGGCAAGGAGCGGGTCATTTCGTGCTGTGGTCAACAGCCTAAGCGGAGGGTGGGGATTGATGCCAAGACAACTCTTGGGGTCGGGGGTTTACAGCGATCTCAAGAACAACCTCGGACCTTAAGCGAAGAACAGTAAACAGTCATGCGAATGGTTCCCAGCAAGACAATCCAGGCGCCGACAAATACAAGTGACCTCTTCCGGCTATAAGGTCGGAGCAACGAGTACTGCCGCGAACATCCTATTCCGCATTGAATTTTCTGGGTCCTGTCTCTTTGATTTCCATACCACATCAAATACGAACTCCTTCTGCCGTAGTTAGCCAATAAACCACGGAAAGAGGTCAGCGTCAGTCAGACTAACCGGCACGGCTGCCGGAATGCAGAGATCGTATGCCAAAGACACCAAAGCCAGCAACACCAACAAAAACACACGGCCACTGACTCACCCAGCGGGGACTTGACGTGCGGCACCGTCACCTTCCGGCCGATCTTGACGGTCGGCCACACGAAGTTCCGGTTCTGCGGGACCACGTAGAGCGTCTCCCCGTCTTCCACGGAGGCCATGGAGGGAACGCGCACTCCCACCCTGTTGAAAACCTTGCAGTACTTCGGCTCGTCTCTCCTGCAGGACGGGGGGTTGTTGTTAATCGAATGCAAAGAGAGAGAGAACGAGGG